GCTCCCCTGGAAAGATCGCCCAAGCAGGACACATGAGAAGCCTGGAGAATGTTGTTCTACATGAAGTAAATCCACACATTTGGAACTCATACAAGGCTGTGAATGCAGACTCCTTTTTAACGGTGCAGTCCTCCTTTACTGTAGAATTCCTTGTCCTGCTCAACCTCATTCTGTCAAGGCAGCATCAGATGACTTGTATTTGTCTACTAGTAACTTTGTGTGAATGTGGCTAGTGTATGCCACTGGGCAGCCTTGCAAATCTGTTGAAGAGGAGCATTTGTAGAAAAGCTCCTACAAGTCAAGTGAGCTCTTAAGTGGCGCAGTGGTTAAATGCCTGTACTGCTGCCACTCACTCATAAACCACAAGGTTGCGAGTTCAAGACTAGCTAGGGCTCAGGCTTGACTTAGGCCTGCATCCTTCTGAGGTCGCTAAAATGAGTATCCAGCTGTTGAGGGGCAATGAGCTTACAGTTGTAAACTGCTTACAGTTGTAAACTGCTTAGACACTGCGTAGCGTGGTATGAAGTGGTATATAAATGAAGCTGCTTTGCTTTGCTTTAAGTGTACACGACGTTTTGAGTATAATAGGCTAGTGTGGCACATTCTTTAACTCCACTTGCAATAGTAGCTTTGGAAAACCCAACAACCTAGAGCAATAGAATGGAATGACACAAAGATTTAGTCAATATGATGTGCTTAGTTTAGAAATGTTCCCTCTGAGAACATTAGCTTATTCTTCAGCTGGGCTGCCACAGTCCCAGTTAATCTTCTGCCATCCCACTTTTTCGGGTGCTTTTAAAATGTCCCAGTTTATCTCTCCTTGAGTTTGAAGTGCAGAAGTGGTTTCCACTCAGTTCTCAGAAAGGAGGGAAGACAGGATGGAACTCAGGCAAAAGCAAACTGTTGCAGCCTCTCCTAACTTGTATGTTCATCCTCATTAATAATTTTTGCCATCTTAACCACACTGATGTTCTCACAGGTGTCCCCGTTTTCATCTGTGATATGTTGGAGGGCATGCACTGGGCAGATCACACCCAGTTCCCTCTGTAGGAAGTTTAGCCCTTGGACAGAAAGAAGGAAAAATGGTTTCTTGCAAGCAATTATGACAGAGTAAATCTTATGAATAAAAAATAGAGAAGGAAACAACAAGCGATTGTGTCCTCCTTGAAACTTCAGAGAGACCTAGGCACCTCTTCCATTGCTCCAATGTGCAGCTGCTGATGAAATATTGATATCTTGGTTGCTGAACATGATATGAACTCTA